AAATTAGCGAACTTGTCATTAAGATTTTTCATGAATTGAATAGCCTTTACTACTGAACCAGAGCTAATTTTCTATTGTTTGTGTACGTTTTCTAATAATAAAAGTTTTCCTCATTATATGATTTATATTAACAACTTAAAACCTGTTTAAGGTTCTGACAATAAAGAATTAAAATAACCGTATCTTCAGTACAATATGTATCAAATAAGTCATATACATCAGAGGTGTAGCTTCTTATAAATCGGGAAAGACAAAGCAAAGTGAAAAATAAAAATGATTATCTTGCTATCTTGCAAAATCAAACAATCCCATGAGAGTATATATTTGTACTAAATGTACACTTAAACGCTTAGTAAAGAACTAGTGGGGTATGCCCCCATAGAATTATCCCCTTCCCAGAATTCGACCTACACAGGAATTCAAACCAAATTATGTCCTTCATGGTATTATAAATAATAAATAAAAAATCTAAGATAACTATTTAAAACAATTCAAATGTATTTATGTGCTTAATTATAGCCTACCAATAGCATAAAGGTATAAATGCCCTACCTTCCTAGATATCACTTATTTTCCAATCAGAAACAAAACTTCATTGAAAGAATATGCTCTCGAGAATCCTTTTGAACGACTTAAAAGAAATGAGACGATGTAATATTAATAAAGACTGGGTTATGTTTTCGGAAAACATTTCTTGAAAATCTTTGCACGGTTATTTCTTAAATCGTGACACGAATAATTTGTTCATTGTCTTGTTCATTAGTAATTCTGTCAAATCTATATTATCGATTTTATTTGTCTAACAACGACTGAAAGTCAATAAAAAGTAACAATATCATTGGCGAGTATTTCTGTAAAGAAAATACGTCAAATTACTTAACGCTAAATTTAACCGTTTTGAAATATGGTATTTTGAATTTGATATCGCAATAGAAAGATTCTCATATGATTCAATTAAAAAAACAATAGCTGTCACGCAAGTGACGAATGCCCCTGAAAAGGTGTTTCTTAAGTATGCAGGTATTATGAAAGGAAAAGAGAATGAAAGTAACAAAATGCCAAGTAATTATAAAATCCTTCAGTGCATGACAAAGTTACAGTTTGGAAACTAATGTGTACCTTCAAACTCTTCTAATGAGCATAAGTACCTTCAAACTATAAGAGTGACTTAGGAACATGGGTCTTACACACAACACGTCATCTTTATGTTGTAGACATTTGTGCAAAGTTATTTTAAACTGTTCAATGCATGACAAAGTTATAATCTGGATTCGAATGAGTGTACCTATAATCTCTAATTGCGATAACGTGAACATTCAAAATATAAGTGTGACCTTGACCTTTGAGAAAGGGACATGATTCCTGGACGCGGCAGAGCGTTGTCATAAGATAGACATTTGTGCAAAGTTATTTCAAAATCCCTCTATGCATGACAAAGTTACAGTCTGGACATGATTGATGTGAAAGTGGGGGCACACAGACGGACATGCGCCTTAGCCGCGACACATTGCCTTGATAAAGTAAACATTTGTGCAAAGTTATTTTAAAATCCTCCCATACATGACAAAGTTACAGTCCGGACATGAATGTGTATCTTCTAACTCTTCTCAAGAGAATGAGTACCTTCAAACTATAAGTGTGACCTTGACCTTAAAGGTAGGGACATGTGTCTTGGTCGCGACATGTCGTCTTGATGTGGTAAACATTTATGCCTAGTTACTTTGAAAAATTTCAATGCATGACAAAGTTTCAGTCCGGACACAAATGTGTGTACCTATAAACTCTAATTGTGATAAAGTGAACTTCAAAAAGGTACTGTTACCTTGACCTTTGAGATAGGGACGTGATTATAAGACGTGACACATTGTCTTGATGTGGTAGACATAAGTTATTCTAAAATCCTTCCTTGCATGACAAAGTAACAGTCCGGACATAAATGTGAGTACTTATAAACTTTTATTGTGATAAAGTGAACTTCAAAATGTTAGTGTGACCTTGACCTTTAAGGTATGTACGTGATTTATGAACACGACAAATCGTCTCTATGTGGTAGACATTTATGCCTAGTTACTCTAAAATCCTTTGATGCATGACAAAGTTACAGCCCGGACACGATTGTGTGTTCCTATTAATTCTAATTGTGATAATGTGAAAATTCAAAATGTTAGTGTGACCTTGACCTTTGAAGAAGGGACGTAACTCTTAGACGCGACACATCGTCTTGATGTGGTAGACATTTATGCCCAGTTATTTTATATTCATTCGATGCATGACAAAGTTACAGTCCGGACACGAATGTGTGAACCTATTTACTCTATTTTTGATAATGTGAAACTTCAAGATGATTGTGTGACCTTGACCTTTGAGGTAGGGATGGTTTGTTAGACGTGTCACATCGTCTTGTGGTAGACATTTGTGCAAAGTTATTTCAAAATCCCTCAATGTATGACAATGTTACAGTCCGGACACGAATGAAGTGGGGACGCACAGACGAACGGACAGACAGACGGGCTGTGCGATTTTAATATGCCTCTTTCGTGGGCATAAAAACACTCTGATTGAGAGTATCATCTTTAATTCAAGTGATATAAATATAACTTGAAATGAAAACAAAATCGGGGAGGACAATTATGAACTTCAAAAGCTTCCTGTCCTATAAATTATTGGGTAAACGTCATTCAGCATGAATTTAAACATTTAATATTGATTGATTATTATTTCAGAACACATAAACATAATTTTCAGTAAATCAATGCGGCAGGACTTTCCTGTAATACTAACTAAAACAAACATTTGATATAATCCAAGATAATTGCAACGAATATTCGTCATAAGAATGAATAAATTTAATAAAGTTACATATCGAGAGCTTGGTACGAAAGGGTCGTAAGTCATGTGAAATAAAGAAGGAGTTATAATACCCTTTCACACCAAGCTGTCGATATGTACAATTGTAAAATAGCCTGGCCTTCAATAACATCTTTTCAATAAAGTCGTGAATTGCATCACTTCAAACTTTAATATCTTGTCCTACAAATGGCTCTATTTCTAAAACAACGACTATCACTTTTAATTATATTCACTAGATATTCAACACTATATATATTTATACACGTGCTATAGATCTAGAGTACAAATATCGAGAACTGACCTATTATTATCTTAGTTCCTTAAATATAAAAGGAAAATAACTACCGATTTCTTTCTAAGGTAGACAACTGATAATGCACTGATAGAATCACTTGTCAACTGCAGTGAAACTGAGGGACGTGGGTTCAAAGCCAATATGGGGTAACTTTGTTTTCTTTCTTTCCTTTTTAACAATATTAATGTATCTGTCAGATCCCTTATGGAAGAAAAAAATGTTTGATTGTAAATATATAATTATTGTAGGTATTTATTTGCTAAATAATACCAAATTAAAAAGCAAATATGATACCAGATATTTTCAAAGTTTAATAAAAGAAACTACACAGTAATTTAAGTTTTTTATATTTTGCAAGATCAACCAATATACATGTACTTTTAAGAATTTTTAGGCAAACTTTGGAAACAGCCCCTCATTGTGGTAAATTTTAGAGATATTTTGAATAAGGCTTTTTATATAAGAAAATGGTCAAATGAGTGTTTAATGTGGGTGGAGAAGGGTAACTTTTTATAGCTATTAAAAACATTTTGTTTAGAAACAATCATTTTGCTCGTGTAATTTTTTACGTGAATGTTGTTGTTTGTTTCTTAACAATGAGCAATAGCAAAACATTTTTTATAATGTAGATATTATAGATTATTTAGCGTTTCCTCGTTTCTGGAAAAAGCTCTTCCGATAGCATAGTTTTAGTACAGAAAAATGTCCATAACTAATAAATCTTTTTTTTGCGTGGAGAAGGTCAGACTCACGTAATGATTTTCTCAGAGACTTACATTATGAGAAATGGTCCCTAATTCCGCCTTAAAATTGAGTTTCCATGCTAAAAAGATGATTACTTTCTATGAATGAATGGTTGACACATAATTTATGTACAGGTAGCCAACCAATTTCCTTGGCACAATGATTTCAAAGAGGAGTTCACCTCAAAGATTCTACAGTGCTTGATTGTGCTTCCATGCAATAATTGTCAACGAGTTGTTTACGGCAGAAGATAGCACTAATAACACTATTTTGGAGGATAATGCCGCTTCACATATGCATTTATACAAACAAACCATGCATATGGAAGTTTAAAAGTACTTTATAGGGAACACTTTACTTTTGGCCTACCCAAGGAGTACTTGATTTATATAGACTTGTATAGAACTTGTTACTCTTGGATTATATCAAATGTTTCATTTAAAAAATATTGCATATTAATTTTGCAAAAAGCAGCGTAAATATGTATTTGAAAATTATTTGAAATATCAATCGCTCGATATAGAAACTTTCAAAAAAATCATGTTATTGATAATCATTGCAAAGACTTTTCTTTAAATAATTCACAGGACAGAAAGCTTTGAAAGTTTATAACTGTTTTCTCTGGTTTTGTTTTCATTTCAAGTTATGTTTAGATCACTTTAATCAGAGATGATTGTCAATCAGAGTTTTAAAACGATATTGAATCATGTAAAATTTTATCATTACGATTCAATATTCAAAGTAACACATTTGTGTTAGTCTGTAACTTATAGTATAACTATTGTATCATTCATTCATGTTATAGACCTGCTTTTTATACCGGACACTATTATAGCTACGAAATATTGTTAAACCTCATGTTGTATACTTTGATATACACGCGTGAAATAAAGTTATCTGTCTGTCTGTTGATTGTAAACGGTTAGATTTATATCACGCTGCATGACGTTATTTGTTTGTATATCAATACTATCAAGGGTCGACAATGTCACTTTCAATTGATTGTCAATCTGTTAGTCTAAATATAAAACAATAATCAATTAACAAACAATGAACAAATCATTGATGTCCCGTTTTCGAAAAAAACAATGCAGACAATTTAAAAAAAAAAATGATTTCACAATACATATAAATAAGTCGTTTAAATAGTCCAACGACTCATTGCTATTAAGTCGTTCGAATAATTGAAACCTAGACTTCGTTTCTTCTAATAAGATTTCGTTTCGGCTTTTTAGAAATACGTCATATTTGAAAGGTAGGATATCATGTTTTTATGCTATTGGTACGCGTATTTTTAACGATGTAAATATATTATAACTGTGTCTACATCATTTTAGAAGTACTTATGGTATTTTAGTTCTTTCTATTCGGCTATATGTTCTAGTTGGATGGTTCCAGTATTCCTCACTTGAAAACTGTTGAATCACCCTTAGGATATGTGGCCTGCTTTTTATACGCCCCACAGAATTTCGACGTATATGTTTTCTTGTCCGGTCTGTATTCTTTTAACCAGTGGAAGGAAATTGAAACTACTTGGCAGAAATGTTAACCATAATGAGACGATATGTAAAGGGCGGGTTTAACGTCAAGGTCAATGATGTCACACTTAGTCATTTTGTTTCTATGTCTGATCTGTATCTTTTGAACCAAAATTGAAAGAAATGAAAACAATTTATTGATTTTAATTGATTTCTATAGACTTATATAGGAGTTTTCATGTCCGGTCTATATCTTATGAACCGGTGGAAGGAAATTGAAACTATTTTGGCAACAATGTTAACCATAATGAGACGATGTGCAGAGCGCAGGTTTGACCTTTCTAGGGTCAAAGCCATGTTTAGTTATTTTGAATCAATATCAAAACTTTGTGTATCATCACTTTGTAAAAGTAGAAGTATCAGTTTTGTGATAGATGTTTGTGTTAGTATTGATGTTATAAATGTAAAGTGAGGTAATAAAAAAGAAATTATCTGTAAGCATAGCATCTTGATTTTTGATTATTTTTTCAGGCATAATATTTGTGCTTTTGAACTTCAGGTGTAATATTTTTATATGTTTCTTTGAATTTTTGTCAATTTATTCTTAATATTGATAATTTAAATAGAACATGTTTTGGGAAAATAATATAAATGGGTATCCTCTTTGTTAAAAACATTTTTGATTACTTTAAATTTTATTTATTTAAGACAAATTTGAATTCGGACGTATATTGCCACCCCTATGCGGTGCTCTTGTTAAATTTTCTTTCAATAGCTAATATGTGATATGGAGGCTTAATTCATCACCTCTGATCCTCATTCAAAATTTCATTTTATTTAGTTTCGCCCGTTATTGTCTTGTTAATGGCACACGCATTTTTTAATTTGGGGACCATACGCCGCGTTTCATGGAATGACACTAATTAATGTGTCACATTGAAAGTTCCATGATAACCGCCGTATGAACACATCTGCAGATGTTTCTAAATCACCATAACCATGATTAAATGTTGAATTCTGCTTAAGCTGGTGCTAGATATGGTGGCATGGACGGTAGGTAGTATGTTCTTGACAGTATCGTCAATGAACAGGCACAATCAATCAATTAACAGCCTGCAACATTTTCAAATTTGACGTTTTGTGCGTTCTTTATGGACTCTTTGTTTCTCTCTATTTAGTCATTCTAAAATAACTGTTTCATATGACATATATGTTTTAACTACAAGTATCAGGGGCATAACTTGAATGGATAAGGGAGGGGACAGTTCTACGCGGGGAGGCACTTCCTGATTATAAGTTCTTTGCTTTTGACTCTCGTAGTTGCTATAGTACAAATAAATATGTCCATGGGATTGTTTTAATTTGCCGGCAGGCAAGATAATTTTTATATTTTTCACTTTCCTGACGAAAGTGTAGATCGTCGCCTATATGGTTAATATCCGCATTCAGACTTATACATAAATAATGACAGAGTTTGGGTTTATTGTAATACATATAATCTCTTATAGAAAGATACAATGAAACAATATCTATTGATCATTTAACCGTATCTAAATAGTATTACATTACATATCGATTCAAAACTTTCTTCACCGCACCATTCATCTGAACTGGAGCTGTCTGTATCGTCCCCTAGCAGGTTAGGATCGTAAAACACTCATTTTATATAAGATTTTTAAGTAATATGAATAATTGCATTAGCTATAAACGTTGTTACATATGCCAGAAGAGTCGACTGACGTCACGATCTCAACTTCGCAAGAGAAGACAATTTTCAACCTTATACTTACTCTTACGATAAGAATCTTTTAAAGATTTATTTTACACTTTGATATTTTTTAAATCAAGCACACTTTTACTTCAAACAGATCAAGAGTAAAGTATGCCTAGAAACAGAAAAGAATTAGAAGTGAGGTTTATACGATACACACAAGATGTACTTGATGATACATTCGATGACGGTACACGTTTAAGCGACACATTAGATGGTCTACGAAATAAACGATACAAAATAAACGATAAAATACCAAAAATAACAGTAGTAAAGAAGGATGAAATTTATTTTTGCAAAGACAACAGAGAACTGTGGGTGTTGAAAGGGTTTGCAGCTTTCTTGGAGGAAACTGAAAATGTTTTGTTAAAGGTACCTGTACAATTTGGAAAATTAGAAAATTTGAAAATGACAACTACAACAGAGGGCGAGGATGTCAGGTTACGTCATAAAGGGTCTACTGAAGAATTCAATAATATCAAATCCGTAGAGCTGTCGACAATTCGTTACAGCGCTGATAAAATTTATGGATTTTCCCGATCAGGTGAAGATGAATTAAAAATCTTCTTATCCAAACACCGCGACCCTAGTAAATTACCAGTGTTGGATGTTGTCAAAAGAAAGGGAAAATTGTATGCTTTACATAATATTCAACTGTGGCTAGTGAAGCACTGGTTTCAGATGAAACATGGTGGCGTGAATGATGAAGGGAAACAACATTCTCCTAATATCGATGAAAGTACTGATAGTCCAAACATTGAAAGTGATATCGACAGCCAGGGCCTTGAAGGTGCCGTTGCAATTGATGACACGGATCGTGCAAATGTAGAAACAAAATTATTCACAGATAAACAAGAAGAAGAATTTCACGACGATGTTGTTATAGTGGATATGAAACCGTATGATAAATATCCCGAAAATACCGCTCTTGAAAACGAAGGCCTATCTATAAAATTGGTACTGGAATCGAAACCAAACAAAAGCTCACATCCTAAATACAGACAACTTACAAGACAGAGTGCATCGAACGATCGGAGGAGTGTAAGAGAATACGGAGACGCATGCAAATCAAAGCAGAGAAGGCGCTGAATTTGTTTGGGTCTCAGAATGTCAGAAAGGTGAAGGTTGTGAGATTATAAAACAATTTGTTTTTGTATAGTGCCACCAATGCTTTCAAACGTTTTAATTGTAGTAGATTGGCAATAAGACTAATTGCAACACTGATATTCGATCCAATGTTTATTTGACTTGAACAATTTGAAAAAAAAAATGACTTGTTGTAATTGGGATTTGAACTCCAGACCTCTCGCTTCCTAAGCGAGTGCGCAAACCCCTCGGCTACGGTGAATTTAAATGTTAACGGCCTGAAGAAAACCATATTATTCTATTCAGGGTTTGTAACGACGCTAACTGTTGTTTAACACTTGTGTAAATAATCATGGCGCTTACTATAAGCATGAATAAAACAATATTAGAAATATTCGACCATTCAGGAATATTTTGCTTGAAAATTAATCCGCCTGTTATGTGACCATATTTACGCAGTGATCTCCCCTAAATTTTTCAGCCTAAGTGTTACATATAAAGGGAAGTAACCGCTTCAAAAAAGCTGACTACTTACGGCACTTGCAATTAACAGCATTAGAGTCTGAAATTTCGCTACCATTATTTGTTTGGTCTGACGACCCAAACAAATAAAAACAACCGATCGGAACAATAAAAAGTAAAGAATTACAAAGGATAGTTTAATGAAGCTTTTTACTAACTATACACCGTATTGTGATGTTCAATGATAAATTCAAGATGATGTTTTGGTTTATCTGAAAACTATGAAAATTATATGTTTCAAGATATATCAAACGCTACATTGCATTGGATTCGTCTATTGTGTCAGCCATCGAATATCTTATTTAATCATTTACTGAATATACTGTCGCAGTTGAACAACATCAATTTATTTTTAATTCATTGGCCATATTACTGCACCATCTTTTGCTTCTGTTGCTTTTTTTGCAATAAGTATATATTTAGTGAATACTATGTGTGATAAGCATCTTTCATGCTCTAAAACCATAATCATTATAAAACTAATGTTGCCCCTTAGAAGGAAAAACATTGTCGTTTCTGAGGAATAATTAATGTGCCTTGATGGAAATTGAGATTGTCTTTGGGTGCACACTCGTGTATGTATGACAGCTTTATATTTGTAATCAAATGAATTATCAATGAACTTAGTAAACGGCATATGTAGGTCGTACTATTTCATTTAATTTCTTTTTGTAAAGAGAATTAGTTAGCTTTATATAAGTGAAATACACGTAAAAACAAATTATTGACTTCTTCTCATAAATTATTGAGTATTTATCATCTTTTAATGGACCATTTTGAATTACCTTTTTTCTGTAAATCATTGTTGCATTTATACAGAATAGCGATACAAAAGTGAAATAGCTGCATGATCTCTTGCATTCTAAAACATCAACGATATAAAAACAATCCCAGGTTTTTGTATAATATTGTTGCTTTGAAGTCAAGATGGTTGAATTACATTATAAGATGGTAAAAAGGATAAATAGGTGAGGTCACACACACATCCTTGAATTCAGCAACATACGAGTAGATTATCAAAGATGCTGAACACTATCAGGACAGTGAGAGACATTGAAACTTCAAGTCGTAAATTTTAGTCGTTATATAAATGTTTGTTATTAGTGAGAGTGAAGGAAAGCCCTACAAATCAACTAATACTCAGCGTGGCCATCCCACGTGACCTGTGAGTGACAAGGAGTTGAATGGCGTTACACATAAATACACATAAATAAACTGATGCCAATTCATATTTTCTAAGCCAGTTCTGTTCTTTCAAAACCGATTTCAAAACGGATTAAAGCAGTACAAGCATAGTTAAAATCTCAAAAAGGCGTTTTTGTTTTGTTTTCAAACATTCGAACCCCGCAGAATTTCAAATGAAAAGCGTAAAGCAGTTTTGAGCGATTAATGTTCTAGACTAAATTTAAGTGACCATTACGTCTAGACTTTTGGGTTGTTTCGTGAAAAAATGTGTGAAATTTCATCTAATGTCAAGCACTTCTCAAAGCCTTAAAAATACTTGTATACTTACTATTCGTTATGATAATAGGATTTATATCAAGTTCGAATTTTCGCGATGGAAGAAGGTGATTATTTCCATTGTCGTTGTTGAAAGTACTATATACAACAACATTTGTGAACATATGGAAGCCTTGGAGGGTCACTTTTGAGTTTCGACTTATAGATTTATTTTCTTATGACTTTTGATTTATGACTTTTGATTTATGACTTTTGATTTATGACTTTTGATTTTTGACTTATGGATTTTGTTATTGTCCCACGTGTTAACCTCATAATTTCTAAGGAAAATATGGCAGACTATGACAACAATTCAGACGAGGTAAGTTCATTTACTTAAGTTTCCTGGAGACTTATTTAAAAAACAAAATATGTGGGCTCATATGCAAGAACAGAATATTATTCTTATATAAGCATTTTTAATTGATTAAGAAAACAAAATACTTTGCTTGCTTTGCATTGCATTTGGTATCCATTTTTTTATTTTGATTTCCGGAACAGGGATATATAATCTCAAATTGACATTCAATGTATGAATCAAACGCTTTATTTTTTATATGGGTTCCAGTTTTAAATCCAAATCAGTCTTGCATTGTTGTTTGCTGAGGTTTCAATCGGTTTTCACCAGTAGTTCATTCTTTGTCCATGTCATATTGAATATAGACCAAATTATAGGCCTTATTTTGACAAAGAAATTTGTAGCTAAGAAGATTCATGAAACATGGTATTTCAAAAACAATAAATTATACAGCTTTGAAACTTCACACACTTGTTTAGAACATGCTCTAAGTTAGAAATCTCTGAATTGCATTGTTATCAAATTATGCCTTTTTTTGGGATTTTAAAATTTGGGGTAAAAATTTTTCATAAAAAATCTTTTTTAAAAAAACAAATTTCAGGTTTCCTATAAAATTTAAACACCTTATTAAGTGTTGACATCAAAGGAAAAATTGCCCAAAGTTTCGTACGAGTGGTTTCCAAAAATTTGAATTTTCCCCATTTTTAAATTTTAAAAATGTTTTTTTTCAAAAGGGGTTTTAAAATTTTGGCCCCAAAAATCAGAAAATGAAAAAAATATAAAACTTTATTTTCACTTGTTCGTATCAAAAAAAATTAGGACCCCTACCAAGTAAAATACATTTTAATTTGTTTTAAAAAACTTTTGTTAGTGATTTTTTGTATTTCTTTTTGTTAAAATTTGTATTTCATTTAAATTGGGGTTTAAAACTAATTTTTAAATTTAATTTAAAATTTTAAAATTTTAGAAAAAAGCTAGCTCCCTTGTAGGAATTAAGGACTTGCTGCCGAATGGTTTCAACTACAAAGCAGTTGCAAGAGCATCAGCAATACATATTTGTCAAGTTTTCGGATCCAGTTTAGAAGACATTGCAAAACAGCGTTCGTTCCGAGTGGAAAGTAGTACAGTTTAGCAAATGCAAAATATCCAAACACTGGTGATTTGGTTTTCTTCGTTATCGTCTATGGAAATATTCAGACATTTTCGGAGTACGAGTGTTAACCTTTTCACACTTGTTTCAGACGCTCGATAATTTTAACCCCACCACTTATTGTCGACGCTTTATTGGGAACACGCAATGTCACGTCCCGCCATGTTTATTTTATACTGTCCATAGCTCCAATATGGTCGATAGACAGGTCATGGTGAGACTGAGAAAAGTGTGAAAAATCATGAATTCATTACTCTGGCTTTCATAATTTTCAGTATTTGCCCATTGTAAATTTTAAAACTTATATGAAAGGTATCGAAATCAAACTTTGCATGTTCATATAGCTTGGCGAGACAGAAAGATATCATAGCTATCATGAATTTTAGAAAGTCCCCTTTGTTGTTTTTGTTGTTGTTGTTGTTGTGGTTGTTTTTTTTTTCAATCTTAGATTTTGTTAAGCTCATAATTATCTCAAAACTGTTGAATGCAACTTGAATTTACTGGCAGATATATCTCGGCGAGACAGAGTGCATTGTGTTGTAAACAAAACTTTTGATTATAACATTAATCGTTCTCCTAAATTAAACATTCCCTTTTTCGACATGCTGTTGGTTGGGGGTATGCTGATTACGAAAGACTATGAGATTTCCATTACATATAAAATCGGCCATTCTTCGAAAAAAAACACAAAAAAACTTGTGAACGTTATTTAATATATACATTATACAATGGATACAGTTTCTTAAAGTTAACTAGGAAATGTTTGGCTAGAGACTGTGTTTGTTTTTTCTCTCTTTTGACATTTAGAAAAGAAGAAATAACGCTCTGACAATGATTTTAAAAATCTTGACTTCAATAATAATGCAGACACTCTAGCGTTGCTAGTTTACATAATTTATCTTATGTTTTCAAAAGCTTCGTTAGAACACTCATGATTTTCTTAGTTTTTATCAGTAACGTATCAACAATGTGTTGTTTTGTAGAAATATCGTATATATGCCTTCCGTGACGTAAATACTTGAAGTGTTGATGGCAGTGTTTATTTTAAGCTGTTCCTTAGTGTAAGGCATATGTGCTATTTTGAAAAAAAAAGTGCTTACCTCTGTATTTCTTATCTCTTTTTTTAAAATTAAATGTAACGAAGCTCAAATGCAGTTTGTTTTGCATAATTATTATTATCTAATACATTTGTTTTCTTATAAGACAAAAATTTTGTTAAACAAAATAAAGCACGGTTGTAGAATTAAAATGTTTGTTGTTATCTGTTTAAACGCATTTATTCAAATAAAATATTGATAGCTCTGCCAACCTGTCACGGTCTAGACCGTGAGGTACAAACCTTTGGTAGTGTGGTCTCTCGGTAGAGTTATATTTAGGTTGTCTGTTGAGGGAGTTGGCTGGTTCCACACAGTTTACTTCTATAGTGATTGCTATTCTATTTCTACTTGGCTTATTTCAACCTCTTACTTATAATTTTAATGGAACACTATCTCTACATAGATAAATAAATTCTCTGTGACATTTAGATACTGTTTATTCCGGTAGTAAATTGCAAGTTTATTTTGGTTATAACAAAGTTACAATAACACAATAATAAATTGTCAACAAATGAGGACAATGTATTTTTATCATTCAGGACCAGATTTAATATGATAATGTAAATAAGTACAAGTTTGAAGTAGAAATCATCAAGAGTTTTCAAGTCATATTTGTGTCAAAACCGTTTTCTCTAAATTTTATTTTATACCTATAAATTTTCTCCCAACGGATAGAAAATTCTGTATTATGTTAGTGACAAATACGGAACCATATATGGAAATGCCCGATTATTTTTGACGTTGGTTCCGATCTTAGCTGTGTCTTACGTAGCATGGCGTCGCCGGTTTTGCATAAATTACGTTATTCATTCGTCACTCATAAATTTATTTTTCATTTCCTGAAATTTCTTATAATAGAAGTGTAGTATAATTAAAATCATTTTTACTAAAAAAACGAAAAGGTATATAATAAAAGTAAAAAATTTTTTTTGAAATGCTTTCTGAGGCTAGCATTTTTTTTAAAATTTCCTTTTGGAAAATAAAAATCTCAAATCCCACCTTCGGGCTCGCGAAAATATCAAAATTTTTCCCCCGCTGCCCCGTAAAACAAAAATTTCAAAAACCCTTTCATAAAATTCCGCATAAATTCCCCTTTTAATTTAAAAGTTTATAATTTCCCAGCGCTTGTACCCTCTTTAAAAATCAGCACGGAAAAAAAGGTACCAGTCAAACCCTGACTAAAATTCCAAAAAAAGAAATTAAAAAATCTATTTCAAGATGTAAAATGCTAATAAAAATTTGTAATAAAGCTACACATCTAGAAACTAGCTCAGAACAGTTTAATCTGAATAAAAAATTCGTTATTTATCAAGAATAGTTTATTTACTTTAATACTCAATGCTGCAGACGGCACTTATAAATAAATGTCCTGAATTGAAACTTCTATACATATGATTTCATACATACAATTGATGTTGATTCTTCATGTAAAAAAGATCAACTATGATAAAAACATGAATGCAATAATTCTAATGCAAAAATGAGGCTAGTGACTAAATGTACTTGTACACATTATATGACTTCAACACCACTCTCGGCTGATGTGCTCCCTTGCGTTTGGTGATTGTATCACAAATTTGTTTATTTTGCATTAATCTAAAATCAAGTAAAACTAATGTTTATACCCGGGCCCAAAAAAGGGGAAACAGCAAATGGCAAAAGTTTTAAAATCAAAAGTCAAAAGATAAAAATCATAAAAAAAAGTTTAAAGAATTATAAGTGAAAAATCCCCAAGGCAAAAGCTAAAAAAACGGGGAAAAAAAAGTCGGGATTTATTACAAAAATCAAAAAATTATTTTTGGAAAAAACAATCTAAAATATTCCCTTTTTAAAAAAACCCTTTAAACTCCTATAAAGTTGGTTTTCATTTGTTTTTCAAAGAAAAAAGACGTTTGAATTTTAAATTAACATAATTTTTGGAAAATTTAAGGGGCTTGTTAAAGTAAAATTGTCACGTAAAGGAAACTTTCTGAAATTTTTCAATTTCCCCTTTCAGTGCAAAATTGAGTGGTTTTAATTAAAAGATAATTACCAAAAATATTTGTAATTTTTCTCTATTAAACCCCTTA